TATTGACACATGTCACCAACTTTTTATTAGCTCCGCTGTCGACTTTGTCCGTCGTCGCATGGAACTATAAACCCCATATAGTTCCATGGTCGTCGTCAGTCGTCCGTGTCAATATTTTACTTTTTTGACTTCTTCTTGAAAACCATGAGCCTGAATGCTTTGATACTTGGTGTACTAGTATATGTACCTTGGGTAGACCTCTCTTAGGTTTGTTCATTTTGTAATGATATCTTTAATTCTCTATTTGCAAGTCCAATTGCTTTGATATTACATAATAGGTACTACATGTGGACCTCTCAGATTTGTTCGTTTTGTAATGATATCTTTAATTCTCTATTTGCAAGTCCAATTGCTTTGATATTACATAATAGGTACTACATGTGGACCTCTCTTCAGATTTGTTCGTTTTGTAATGATATCTTTAATTCTATAATTTTGGTGAATACTTTTGTAATTTTTGGTAAAAAGTGATATTTTTGAATTCTTGTTGAAAACAGCAAGTCTACATATTGTTCATTTTCTAATGATATCTTCTGTTCTTTAACTGAAATGTGCATTGCTAACAGCGAAGCTATCTCAGCGGAGAGGCTGCTTGTTTTCTTCACAATATGAACAACTTTAATTTGAGGAAACCGTGACAACTTTAAGTAGTCATTAAATAACTGCATTACTAAATTGTTTGCTGTTCGTAGACCCCCCCCCCCCCCCGCAACCTCTATTGTCATAAATCGAGGCTACCTTTTTAAATGCAAACAAATAAAGCTGTCGTTTTTAATAGCAGGTGAAGACCACTTTTTTTTCCTGTATGAACAAAAATCCACATATACATCTTTACTGTATGACTCAATTATGTAAATAATGTAAAAGTTTCAACAAAGAATTTTTCACAAAGCAAAATTAGCATTTGAAAAAGTGAAAAGAACATTAGATTGTGATTTATAACAACAACTAAAGCTATTGTTTTCAATAGGGGTTGTAGAATCGAGACCACTTTCTTTTTCCTGTATGAAAAAAAAATCCGCGTTGTTAATTCATATACATATTCACCATATGACTCAATTATATAAATAGTATAAAAGTTTCAACAAAGAATTTTTCACAAAGCAAAATTAGCATTTGAAAAAGTGAAAAGAACGTTAGATTGGGATTTGAATATTAATAATATTATCCAACAAGTACACTTTTTAATAGCACAGTACTTCCCATGCTACAAAAATGTAAAATAAATTTTTTAACTATTCAGTTACAAATCAAGGGTTCTTAAGAAAGCAAGTAATAATCATTGTCATGCTTTGCATTAATTTAATTGAATTCTACTTTAGAATGAAGTTCCAAATAACTACCCCCACCGACCGCTGATAAAGGTCACACTGTTTTCGACAATTGGCTAGATTTTGTCAATATGTTCACAAAAGAATGAAAAAAAAATTATTTCAATTTGTTTGCTTTTTTGGTCTTCATGAAAAAGAAAATAACCAATTAAGAACCAATTAATGCCATTTGAAAATTGTTTGATTAATTAGTTCAAATTATTAAAATTTCTGACAATAATCTACCAATTGTTATTTTCAGACATCAATATGTGTAACTTACGTAATACTGAGAAATTTGGTGATGAACTTCACATAGTATTTGAATGTCAAAATACATGTAATATAATTACTCAGATCAGGAAAACAAAATGATTTAGCTTGTTTTTTTTTAAATAAAATGGAATTTTATTCAGCAAAATAATGATGAGATATGGTTGGAACATTGTACCATAGAAACAATTATCTCATGGATATGTATTCATATCTTAATATATATCTTATTCACAATCTGTGAACACCAGCATAAATTTATACTATTATATGATAACAGTTGAGAGGACCTGATCATTTGTTTTAATGATAGCCAAAGAGGTCTTAGTTTTTAATCTCTCTCAAAAACAAAACTTAATATCTTAATGACTAGTACTGATGCAAACACTCTTATTAAAAGTGTAGAAAAGACAAATTACATGATATGGAAACTCCCAAGAAACCAGTAACCGTACTACTACATGTACGAATTGCTACTATTAATGTTGATTGAACAATTGCTTATTACTATTACAAATGCAAATAAACTCAATATAAGGCTGAGAAAAAAAAATCTCTGTTTCTCGTTTCCCCGTGCATCATTTTGAACTATGCGCCTCGGACGTTTTTTTTTCCTTCTAAAGCATTCCAAAATGCTTTTGTACTTGCACTTGACTCAAATTTCCCCCATTTTAGCTCAGTATTAAAAAAAAAAAAATTTTTCTAGGCCTAAGCATAGAAAAGAAAAATTACATGATTATAGAACTCCCCAGAACCAATTACCTCAGGAAGGCCTATACAGGGTGTTTGTCGCCTATTACATGCACTACATCAAATGACATGGAAATAGTAGTCATTAGCTCAAAAGTTGGTATAATTTCACTATAAAAAACTTTATGAAAGTTTGCGCAGTTAAATTTTATTTTTTAGAACAAATTTTGAGTTAATTATTTTTAAGTAAGTATTAAACTTACATTACAGAGGGAAAATTTGAGATGATGAAGTTTCATGTATTTTTTGTTTGTAAAAATTAATTACATTTACACAGAAAAGAATTATTTGATTTGGCTAGTTTATCAGAATGTTCATGACAATTTTTTCTGAATAATGTTATGACTAGCATTGTAATTGGATGAAATTTTAAGATATTGTGAACCATTGTTACCATAGAAACCCATGGTAAATCAAAAATCACTGTTTTCATGATGTTGTTTTTTTGTCCCCTAAAAGAGATTTGAAGTGTTGCCATGTCAAGAACACTATTTATTCTGATGTATTTTCTATTGGTACAAAACTCAAACAGTTTAAAACTGGAAGGTAAGTCCATCACATATCATATAAGTAATCATTCATCTGTTTTGTGAGTCAAAAAAAAATAGCAAAATTTTGTTGCAGTAACAATTTCTCTTGGTTTCTTCAACATACAGAGTGCCAGTGACATTTGTGAACATTTTTCTTCACGATTGCCATGGAAACCGGAAATTGTGAAAATTCATAGTTAACAGTACACTGTAGAAGTATTATTCTGTGTTTTTTATCAGCAGATTTGATGTTTCGACATAAGTGAAATGAAAACCTAGTTTATAATAAAGAACCATGTACCGGTACAATGTGTATTAGTAATGGGCCATTCCAGTTTATATCTGCACCCCCCCTGTGGATGTGGTGCAGATATAAACTGGAATGGCCGAATGTTTTCATACTCATACATGTATGTATGTACCTGGTATCTGTGCATGTTGTCTGTACTTAGTAATATATTACTGTAATACATCATTTCAATCCATTTGTTATGTCATCCACATCCCAGATTGACTGAATTACTATTTGGAGAAAGTTAAATACTAATGCTTTAGTACTTTTTTATTATAGAATGTGACAGTGAATATTTCACTAGGTTGTTTATCTTTTTCACTACTAGATTTTCTCGCCCAAACGTTTTCTGCACTTTTTCTTATATTCCCCAATATTTCTAGAAATGAACCCTAATTTTAGAGCCAACAGGCAAAATTATATATAGTCAATTTTTTTTTTTTCACTACAAAAAAATGTTTATTTTTGTCCCAATCTTCTAAAGGAAAGTACAGTCTATAAACAGAACTATTTTGTGAATTTGTAATGAAGAAAGAGAACTGGTGGTGAAAAGGTTAAAACACCACAATGTGTTTTATATAGTCCTATATGTGATGTATACAACACATGTACATGTAGCATACATGTATAATGATTGATTATGTAAAGTTTTGACTACTTTCATCTTTCACTTTTTACCCTAGCATCTTTAAATCATCCATTGCAAGCATAAATTGCAGTGAAAATCATTATTACATGATAACAGTTTTTCTTTTAATAGTACCATAATATTAAACTTTGTGTACCTGCAGTTGCTATGCAGATAGTGGTGAAATATGGTGAAACCATGGAAACACAATGTAAACTTGTAGATATAAATGTTGATGAGTACACAGCGGAGGACATTGCTTGGTATAAGAATGGAGATGTATTATCTGAGGATATGTATTCAGTTGTCAATACAACCACATCACTGTTATCTCTATCAAATGTAACTTTTGATGCAGAAGGCAATTATTCATGTCAACTGAATCATCTTGATCAAGTGGTTGCCATAGCGACAACAGACATTGTAGTTGGAAGTGAGTATTATTCTGAGAATTTTGCAAGTCAATAGAAAATTAGTTTCTTTTTGCTTATTTTTTCATGTCATCATCTTTTATCAAAACATGATATAAACACTTGTTGCATCTCATTTCAGTTCATAAATTTATTTTTATTTTATTTTATTTTTTCTGAGATTTCTGCAAGTCAATAGAAAATTAATTTCTTTTTGCTTATTTTTTTCATGTCATCATCTTTTATCAAAACATGCTATAAACACTTGTTGCATCTCATTTCATTTCAGTTCATAAATTTATTTTTATTTTATTTTATTTTTTCTGAGATTTCTGCAAGTCAATAGAAAATTAATTTCTTGTTGCTTATTTTTTTCATGTCATCATCTTTTATCAAAACATGCTATAAACACTTGTTGCATCTCATTTCAGTTCATAAATTTATTTTATTTTGTAAATTGATTGATAGTAAAATTACATTTGTTGCATGCATGTTTTGTGTGGCAAAGGCATATTGACAGAACTGTTATTGTCTTTGTGTCACATGATTTTTACTACCAAACGTTCAGTAAACAATTTGTTTGCTTTTTCATGTATTTTTAGCAAATGGACATAATTAACCCTTACAAAAATGTAGCTACAGGTTTTTTTGTAAAAAAAACCCATAATAATGATGTTTTTTTGTTTTTTTTTGCCAAATATGACAAAAGTTGATTTTGGTAGTACAATTTAATCTAAATGTCGTCTACTGAATTATGTTCAAGTGACTTTAATAATTTGTAATGATGGATCTTCATTTTTCAGGGTCACCGAGTATCGCTAATTTTTCCTGTGTGTGTTACAACATGGGTGAAATGTGGTGCACCTGGGACCCAGTGGATAGCAATCTACCAACTCAGTATGTGTTCACATGGAGATCGTTGTGAGTACATTCCTACGTATGATTATAGTGAAAATGTATATAAAAATATCATGCATGGTTGAAAAAATAATCACTTTGCAGAGAAAAATATCTGATTTTTTGGTCACTGAAATAAACTTCGCAATATCGATGATCCTTTTGTGATTACAATTTGAATTCATGAAATTTTAGCCAAAAAAATTATGTTATGATAGAATGCCATTAAATACAACAATTCTGTCTCAGACTATTCTTGAATAATTTTACATAAAAATCTATAATTCCTAGCAGCAGACTTTTTTGGTGTTTATGAGTCAATAAAATAAGATTGAACAATTCATTAGCCAATCAAAGCATGTCTACCAGAACTATCAACATTTGCCAATCAAAGCATGTCTACTTGAACAATCGTATTAGCCAATCAAAGCATGTCTACCTGAACAATCGTATTATCCAATCAAAGCATGTCTACCTGAACAATCGTATTAGCCAATGAAAGCATGTCTACCTGAACAATCGTATTATCCAATCAAAGCATGTCTACCTGAACAATCGTATTAGCCAATGAAAGCATGTCTACCTGAACAATCGTATTAGCCAATCAAAGCATGTCTACCAAAACAATTGTATTAGCCAATCAAAGCATTTCTACCTGAACAATCGTATTAGCTAATCAAAGCATGTCTACCAAAACAATACCAATATCCAATGAAAAAAGCTACTTCTCATCTTCTCTCTCTATTTTTATACAGTTATTATTCTGGAAACCTCTGGAATGACTGTCCAAATAGCATAACAAAAGGACCAAATTCATGCTATTTTGATACATATACTAACCTTGGTTCAGAACATTCAATGAGAGTCACCTCAACCAATCAACTTGACACTGACAATAAAATAATTGCATTCAACCCAGACACCCAATGTAAGTTCAAATTTACATTATATGAATAGAACATAGAGTAGGAAAGTTTCTTTTTTCTCATAAATACTATTTTGATTGTCACAAATAAGTTGACAGTTACCCAGAATGGCTGTATGTTGACCCTTACCATGGTTGATATACAGATTTGTTGCCCCAGAGATAGAACTTTTGACCAAGGAAAACAATGTCAACAATGTTGTCTGAGGGTCAACAAATATGTATATCAACACTGGTAGGGCTGACATTTTTATTATTACACAGAATAAAACACCATTTTTCTAAATTTATTTCTAAATTCCAGTTGTTAATCCACTAATCTGTGTTTATTATGTAGATATGGTATGGTTTGAATTTTTAACTTATAAGTTTCTAAAATTACTGTTAATTTTAGTATTTCAGTGAGTCATTAGATTTTAATACAGCAGACATTGAATCTTTTGAACCATAAAAGTGAAAAAAAAAGACTGAGCCCACTTAGTCTGCATAGATGCAAAAGTCTATTGGCAAATTTAATTGGCTGATAGGTCAGTGAATTACCGGTATATTAATATCTCATACAGCCCTGTAGGAGTATATAATTGGTTCTGATTGGTTTTAAGGGGTTACACACTTGGTCAAAGGATGCTCAGTATCAAGACAACTAATAAGTCAAAACATCACGTCGAATAATATCTCAAAATATGTAATCAAATTTAAGCCTTGAATAAATTAAAATCATACAATTGTTTACAAATTTGATATCATATGATATCATCTAATACAGTGAAAATAGTTTGTGAAGAACTTACTGCAGTTATAATGGCACATTATTGTCAGCTTATCATAATTATGATATTTTTATGACATTTAACCTGTGTTGTATTTACAACATTTTGTTTTAGATACACCGTTTCCACCAAAAAACTTGCAGCTTGAATCTAGAACTGCCTATTCTATCTTGGCTTCGTGGACCCCACCTATAAAAAACTCACTAAGGTATAAATTGCAGTATCTCAGTGAGTGGGAGACTGAGTGGTCTCAGGTAAGTTCTATATATTACAGAAATAACATTAAATTGCAGTGTGAATCACTGTGCTCTGCTGATAATATTCAGATTATTAGTCCCCGCTCGGACGAAGTGCGAAAACGGGGACTTATAATTCGGTCTCCGTCCGTGCATCCGTTCGAAGTCATATCTCAGAATCCTGTGGACCGATTCCGTTCATTCTTTGCATGTGCCTCGTACCTTATGTAGGACATATGCACATGCAGTGGTTTAGTGATTTGATTCAAAATGGCCGACTGGCAGCCATCTTGTTTTTGAAAATGTTGTATTTTGGACATGCTTTGTTAGTTGTCATTCAAACTTGGTACATAGATTATACATGTTAGGATACATGTCCATGACGATTTATTTTGCAATTGGATCAAAGATGGTCAACTGTCAGGCATCTTGTGTTTTTTCTTATGCGGTATCTTGGACGTGCTCTGTTAGGTTTCATTTAAATTTGACACATACATGTACTTTATACATGTTAGGATGCATGTCCATGACAATTTGTTTCAAAATCTGGTCAAGGATGGCCGATGACAGCCATCTGACTTTTTGGCCTTAGTACTATATTTCCACAATTTATGTACCATTT